TAACTAACAAGAAAATGTTGCTTTTTTTGTTAAAGTATCGAAAAGAGCGCTCTAGCAGCCTCACTGGGAACTGATTATATAGTTAAGATAGATTTGATGAAGTAACCAACAAGATGAAGTTTGTTAAAATCCTTCTTTTTGAAGTTACAGTTGAATATTTAACATTGAATCATCCCCAGCCCTTTATCTTATGTGAAAAGGCGTTAAACAAAATACCCTCGTAGAAAGTTTAGATTTAAAAGTCAAATATGTTTACTTTAGCTAAAAAACTTTTGACTGCATATGTCGATGACGAATAATTTCCGAAGAAAAGTATTATGCTTCAATTCAACCGGGCTAGTAAAATATAAACGAACCAAAACACTTAGTCAGCAAAATAGAGTTAATGCGTTTTGAAAAACTTCCAAACAGTTTGCGCCATAGATTATTTATTTCTTACATTTTATAAATAAATTCGGGCACAATCCTGCGCCGAGATTAGTTTCTTTTTTTATAAATATTGTAAATACACGTCCTCAGGTAAATAGTGTACCCTCATTGTTCGGAAGAATACATACGCTGTATTGGGAGGATGCGGAATGGTGATATTTTGTGTATGAATGTAAACTCGAACTGTGCACCGATGTCTATTTGGGAATAATATATTGAATTACAACAGCGATTTAGTGACTCTGGAAATGTGACTTTTGATGGGCCGGTAAAGCTAATATTAAACAGGCCGGTGACAAAATTTGTTTAATTACCTATTCACGAAGACAACTCGAAACAATGTGGGGAATCTAATACCTCAAACAGAAAATATGCCTTAATTTCAAATTAAATATAATTTTCTATACTGTGGTTCAACATCTAGTATAAAGCAACTAGAGATTCAGACTGGCCGAAGTTTCAAGCCCAATAATTTTTAATAAACGAGTGAGTTAAAAAGTTTACCGAACGTGTTGCATACTATACTTTTTCTACGACCGTTAGTTTTTGGGTACATATTCGCAAAACAACACGAATACATTAACCGTCAGATGTGACAAACGTCAAAATTCAAGGCGTTGGAAATAACTCCGAAAACATCCGATTGCTCCCAAACCTGTGCTGTAAATTCCCGGAAATGTCCGAAGTGGCCCGGATTCATGGGAAACGAAACTGACTTGGTAAAGTAACACTTCCCACACTCTAGATCGGTGGGTAATTAGGTATTTTATAGACGGGAGTAGAAAATATATTTTATGTACTGATAGAAGTAGCGAATGGGTTAATATTTAAAAGCCATTAAAATGAATTATACTAATTTTGGAGCTCCTTTGGGGCGATGTTACATATTTGGTTAGTTTAATTTTAGATATTGTTAGAACAGAACTTTAAAAATTCATGACAGCTCAGTACTACGCATTAAATTCACATCTCCCTAAAATATCAAAGGTAGAGATTTAAGAGATACTCTGTATATTGGCACCTAACTTTATTCCATACAGCACTTTTGTGCTACCATGCTTTTTTTATTAATGTTTTTTAAATAAAATCAATAAGTCACAGAATATAAGAGATAAAGTGATATGATCGCTTTCTGGCTTTTGACATAAAACATAAAAACCTAGTTCTAGTTGCTTATCGACGTTACAATGTAAATGAAGTAACGTAATATCAAGCGGCAACCAACAAAGTTTCTTATCATACCACACTTCAATTTCATTTTAAAACCCAAACTTTTCATTTCCGTTTCGTTCATAAAGAATTCTGTTCGAACCTAGTTGTGAGTATCGATCATTTCGCTAGACCGTTCGTAGTCACGTGGAGCACGCGACCCGAAAGACAAACATAATTGGGTTGATTTAACTAATTGGTAACACGGCACCATTTTGGGATTACAAAATATATGGCGAGATGGGGATTCAATTTTGTACCCCGTTCTGAATTCTATGCTTGCCAGTCTCTGCACAATGTCGAGTGGAGCTCAGCCGTTTGCTCTAATTTCACGCGAATTACATTCGCATTTACTTGATGACGTCCTAGAAGTTCCCCATTGTTTCTTTAAGTTCAATCACTTTCACTAAGTTGTTAACCGGATGGGAAGAAATTTTTTGAAGAACAGATGAGTGTGACAACTGTCAGAACTAGACAATCACTATTTTATATTTGGATATTCCAGTGGTTTAACAATGACTAAAAGAGAAATGCTTGATCTAATTTTTTTTAATTGCGACTTTAACAAGTCATCTTGATTGTTCTAAATATATCAATTTACTCCTGCCTGAAAAATGAGTTGCCATTTCTGTATCTTCTTCTTTTTCCTTCTCTTCACCAAAAAAGAGCATTAAGAATTATGTTAAATATGAGGTCATTAACATCCTATGTACATAAAAAAGACATTTTATTATAAGTGCATAAGTTGTTTCAATACACAAAATGTATGCAATTTTTTAATTTTGTTTTAACTTTATTTCGCTTTATGTTCTAGTTGATAAATTTTGGTGATGAAGGGTGATTCAATAAGGGTTTCCACATTAAAATAAAAATAAAAACTCGGAAGAATATAAAAATATACAAACATTTTTATTTGCCATTTTAGATTAGTGTATTACAATTAGGTATGAAAGATGATGTCATTCAAATGACCCCCGCGACTCATGTGGCATGACGTAATCCGTTTATTGAAATTTCCTATCACTTTTTGACACAATTCAGGTTCTATGCCGGCTATTTCCCGTCTAATCTCCTGTTTCAGCTCTGGAATAGTCTTTGGTTTATTTCTATACACTCTGCTTTTTAGATACCCCCAAAAAAAAATCTAGGGGAGTAAGATCACATGATCGCGACGGCCAATTGTTACCGCCGTTACGTGAGATAATCCGACCAGGAAACTTGCCCCTCAGCAATTGCATCGTTTCTCTGGATACCTCCGCACCAAAATGCGCACGAAGCAGTCACTTTTTAAGGATGCATTGTTTTTTGAACAATCTCTGTTGGATTTTCCAATCCGCAAATACGAGCATTGTGTTTGTTTACAAAGCGACCAACGTGAAAATGTGTCTCATCGCTAAAGATGATTTTCGTTGAAAAATGAACCCCTTGTTCTCGTATCCATTCTGCAAACACGATCTCGATCTCGAGGTTTCAACTCCTGAGTTATTTGGACTTTATATGGGTGTAGATGCAACTCGTTTGTTAAAATTCGCTGTCTGGTTGAATACGTAAGGCCCAGTTGCTGCAATCGATGACGAATCGATGTGTTTGGATCTTCGGCTACACTTTCGCGAACATTGGCAATATTTTGATCTGACCGACCTGCACGAGCACGTTGAGGGACTTTGAGGTTAGTTACAGATCCAGTTTGCTCAAATTTTTGAACCACATTCCAATTTGTCCTCTCAGAAGGTCGAAAAATTCACGTAGAGCCCGAAATGCATTTTTCTTGATCGTCCATTTTCATAATAGGCTTGCACAATTTTTACACGTTGTTCAGTCGTATATTGGTCCATGAGTAATTTTGTTTATGTTTTGAGGTTAGAAATCTCATATGATAATAAAGAAATACAGTGGCGTTTCAAAAATATTTCAGATTTTAATGTGGAAACTCTTATTGAATCACCCTTTATTATGAATAGATTACACCATAGTTTAATAAACGACTATTTTTATAGAAATTTATTAACGTGTTGCATCCTGCACTTTCCATGACCATTAGTTACATTTTTGGAAAACAGCTCAAATAATATCCGCTGAGTGATTGACAAGTCTCACAAAAAACTGTCAGTATGTATAATCTACCGAAAACATCCGATAGCTCCGAAACCCGCGACTAAACTACGTAACGTCTGTGGTAACTCAAGACAGTGTCTAAGGAAGCTAGAGTCTTAGAATGACACGTGACACGAATTTAGTCATCATTTTAGCATTGGGTATTTTAGAGTGGCTAGTGAAATAAATAATATTTATTTTAATAAAAAGCAGCAGCATGTAGCTACCATATACAGATCTAGTTTACATCTTCTGAAAAAAAAAACAATGGTTTTAACATAAAAAATGAACATTCCAAAAGCTTTTTATGAAATAGGTTTATTTGTGGTTCTCTCCTTCAAACACTAAGTATTCACATCATTAAAATTCCAGAAATACCATTTTTTGAGGTGCTAAATAGCATCTCTAGCTTAGGTGTGATTGTTTGACTTCTAATACCTCTAGCGCTGTGAACAAAACTGGGTATACGTCTTTTAAACACACTATACACGCTGAAGCACATTGGTACTTTGGTAAGAGCAGTTAGAATCCGGCTTGGCAAACAGGATCGAAGGTGTGTGACAACAAAAACATTGGGTTTGAACGCGTCTCTCCTTGTTCGGCTTGCCTATCTCTATGACACGATCTCGAGCAAGTAAATTTGTTGCCATTTTTTCCATATGCACATCCGTTCTTGGCAATGAGAATTTCTATATTCAGCGTTAGTTTCTAGGAAAGTCATTAAAAATTAATAAATCTGCGGTTAGAAACAGTAACGAAGATATGTTCAAATTTGATCGAAATATGAAGGAAAATAACGAATGTTCAAGTTAGGAAAAAAGTTTGGAAATTACTTCCATAATACCCTAGCTTATGCTAAGCTATGCTCATGGACGTATAAATTACATCGGCAATACAAAAATTGATTTGAAACTTACATACATACAAATTGTAGATCTGGTTACTGTTATTTTTTTTGGGAAGACGACCAGATAAAAGATCGTAGCGTAGCTTAAAGGAGCGCTGTTCTATTAACCTGCCTTTGAAACTGACAAACATTTATATTATCACTCGTAGATTCGAAGAGATTGGTACTGTGAGTTCTAGCTACATGAGACGACGAGACGGTTTAAATTTGTTGTAATTTGCCGTGTTGTTCTCAAATAGACACATGTTCATGTTGAATATTGCACCTCCTGTGAATGTTAGTGTACATTTATATTAACAAATCATTGAAACATGCTCGTAATTCTTACATAATATATATTTTTAACTTGTGTCTATCCTAGGCTGACAGCAAAAAATCTGATACCTTGAAGAAGGCTGACAAAATTGACGAAATTCCTAGTGAATACGAATGTTGCTTTTGCACAACCAAGGTAGTATTTCGTTTATAATTCTCTTTCACGGCACTCTTCACTGCCTAGATTTTATTCCACCATACCCGATCCATATTCAAAAACGAGTTTGTTAGACAAAATTGTACCGCTTTGATCCAAAACCGATATCGAAATTCTCAAATGATGATTGTGTGGAGCTAAACACATGGTAATAACCTTTGATTTTGATGATAGCTGTCATTTTTGAGGATGTTTGATATCGGACGATGTTTTGCAATTTGAAATGCTTTACGACATGTAGATGCGATTTGACGGACATTTTTTTCACCAGTTGGTTCCATATACTACACCATACGGTTTCGCATTATGATCACCTCACACGCTAAAGTAGCGCGCTGTTTGATTGATTGTGATAAAATCGAATTTATAGGCATGCAAAAAGTAAAATGGCTATATTTAGTAGTTGACTAGATTCCGGTTGTTTTGTTATATTGTCGTGTTTTTCAAAAACGCAAACGACACTCATTCCACACTATAAATTGAGCTTTCATTCAATATTTTGGCAATGTCGGAATATTTATAAAAGCGCTTCGTGTCACTATCATGGTGGGTGAAAGTAAAGAAGAAGTTTTGTCTTGTGCCTCGTAATTTTTAATCGGCAGCCAAATTGGTTGTATCCTCGGTAGCCATTTTTTGAGTGCATCGTCTGAAGTGCAATGCGAACGACATTTTCAGGATTACAGTGACAGTAATGGCGGCCAATGTAGGGGAGAGTGTGTGCCGCTGCGCACGACCAAAAGTGAATAGCCATAAACAGGTGAGTGCCCAGCGGCGGCCTGTACACGGCGTGTTATTTTGTACAGAAGCCTTTGTGTTATCGGTGTGTGTTCGTGCAATGAGCACTCTCTCTGTACCTATTACCGACCCTCTTTGTTTGTCTTTGTTGGGCGCTTTTTGATGTTACGCGATGCCTGGAAACGTGCAATGAAAGCTTACTTTGTCGACCTATAGTTTGGTGTCTTACGCTTGCTTGCACATCTCCTGGTGTCCTTCCAGAAACACATACACAGTCACAGTCAGTCAGCAAAAAGTATACGTGATAACAACTTGTTTCAACTCTACGATGTTGGATCAGGTGGAACGGTGGAATTAGGACCATTCTCCCATTCTCGTCGGATTGTTAATCTTACCTTTGGTAGGCGTAAATCTCAGACACCCCCCTGACCTCCGACGCTCTTCCAATCGTTATAGATGTACAGATTTCATGCATTATTCCCATCAATATTTCAATGTAAATCAATCATTGAATTTAAGTTTTGTTAGGAAATACATTGAATATTTAATTCTAGAAGCAGATTTTACAATTCTTTTAAGTGTAATGTCGATACTTCGACATTGCCAATAAAAACATGCCTCGTATATATCAAAAGCACTTATTTACTTGTAAATCAGACTTCAAATTTAAAGTCGGTAGCATGTTCCATTCAAAATCCTGACCCAGTTACCAGGTAAGGATTAGATCGGTTTTCTAACCAAAACCCAAAGGAAAGCTTGAAACTCGAGTTAATTACATAATTACATGGCGATTAAGTTAAACTTGCCTTATATAAACCTTGCTAGTCTGCGAGATGCGGAGTGTGGAAGTTTTATATAGAAACTGAAAAAGTTATATATATTTATATAATAATTTTGGAGCTGGCATCCAAAGATATTTTTATGTATGTAATTTATTTTAGTGTAGCTCGTAAAGAGTGTAAAGTGTGGTCAATTATTATTAATTATTAAGTCCAGACCTAAGCCCATTGGATTTTTTAATACCGTCAATAATGACCATATTGAAAAATAAACAAACGGTTACAAAAAAGGCAATTGTTTCTGTAATCAATTAGTTGCCAATGAAATTAAAAATGATCGATGACTCTCGCCCAATTTTTAAAGATTTTTTAAAAAACTTATAGATGAAGGTCATTTATTGATATTATTGTGCATTATTGATATTTAGGAATTTGGGTTTTTAATAGTTTTTGTAGTTTTTAGACAAATTTTGAAAATGCAAGAAAGAATAAAATTTAATTTAGTGATGTTACAACCGATCATAGGTGCCCTTTTGTTAATAAAAAATAAATGTCGTTTCTGTCCACCGTGCATTTTAATATTCTAATAAACAAATACAATTTGATCGTAGATATCTCAAAAACTATTTCACTGGTACTATTGTTTTAAGGTAAAATTTGAAATGACAGATCTTATCGGCTGAAAAAGCGTCCAGAAATGACAGTTTTTGATGTCCTTCGAAAGTGCTTGTATTCTCAGCAAATATCTAGTAATTATAGGGTGTAAGTGACTACAGCTAGCGCGCTCTATGACTACATTAAGAGTTTCGGAGGTAAATTTTAATGACGCTACTGTTAAAATTGTTGTAATTATAGCAATTTTTGTAAAAAAAATCACAACTTGTATATCGTAAACCAGTAAAATTTCTATAAAGAAAGTTTGCCTTAATCGTCATATAACCACCCTGTTTAGCTAAGATTTTAATGTCGGTTTTGATTGAAAAAATGGAGTGCGTACTGGATAAATCTTTTCACAAGTATTTTTATATCTTGCTCTGTCAATTTTGCAAGGGAAATGAACAATTCAGCTATATCTATTCTAAAACATGTGTCACATCTTTTCAAAAAAATTCTGTCTGACTCTCGCTCATCTTCCGAGCAATTTTGAAATCATTTCAGATCGCATTGTGCGGTATTAGCCGGACCGTATCTCAGATTTGCTCTATTCGCCTTATAGGGTGTACCTTATGCGTTTCTTTGACTACTGTCTTTGAATGAGTCATCCTTCATAAGCTCAGTATGGTCGAGTGTCTAACTATTTATAGTTATATAGAGAAACGATGAAGCGCTCTCTATTAAACGCAATAAACCACAATAAATCTTGTTTTAACAATCAACTTTTGCTATTAATATTCAACGGCAATTACTCGCTAATTTTTCTCAGAATTTTGTGCCCCAGCCAAAGTAAGCTGACTACTAATCAAAACCGCAGTCACTTTAAGCATAACACTCCACACACTGACACTTTTTAAAAGAGCCCAACAAAGATTGTTTTACTTCTAACCCTGATGAACATAAGAGTTGCCTTTCTAACAAATTAATCATTATAAGAGTGGCGTAAAAATAATTGAGAAACATGGAAAATAAAAAAAGGTGAAGAGAAAATTTGAAGAATGATGAATCTAGAAAAGATCTGATTTTGATTACCACAGCCGCAAGCCGCAAGTATGTACTACAAATAAAACGACGTGTTAGACACTATTTGATATCATGCCAGTGATTGTAATTTTATTGCCGTTCGATTTTTTCAGTCTACGTCTAGTGACAGGATTCACCGGCTAGTTTTTTTTTCTAAATTTTAAAATAACCTACTAAAATATAAAATCAGAAACTGTTCTGTCCTATAATTTTAATTTTTTAGCGGAATATTGTCCTACTCATCGATACGCAATTTGCCCGTGAGGTATAGCGCACCTCATCTCTTAGCGACATCGCAATGGTGATAGTAGAATTTGAAATAACCGGTTTACCTTCATCAATTTAAATAGAACACCATATTTTTTCATTTGGTGTTTTTAAGATAAATGTTTGATTTGGTTTTGATCTGCGCAATACTTTCTCGCAAATTCTAATATTAACAATAGCAAGTTGAATGTATTTAAAAAATAAACCAAACCACTGTTATTAAAAAATGTCTCTTTATACATCAGAATATTGGCTCAAACTCAGATGAACAAATAAACAAACTATCATCGCAAATTGGTTAACCAGATCCCCAGACTTAACCCCAACACCAGACAATATGCAAGTTCGTGTTAGACACGTTTTTTTTTAACTAAAATTTGCAAATCCTGTCCGAAATATTATTAAAGGAGAACATTCAAGTGCCGGGAAATGAGCCATGTAAATAATAAATAAATAAATATTTCTATACGTTCGCAGAATGTTTTGTTCCAGCCAAAACAAGATAACTATGAATTAAAGTCACTTTGACCATAATATTCCATAGTTGCCACACTACTGTGCTTAATGCTCTATAAGCAGAGCCAATCCAAGCCAAACTGGTAGACTAAATAACACAGGCAACTAAATCCAATAAAACTTTCACTTAAAAACTCGAAAGGGCTCAAATATATATAGCACTTTTGGGACGACCTGTATATTATAAAAATAATGCTATAAAACAACCACCAAAAATTTCGAATGTAAGGCATTTGGGTCATAATATGCCGCTTCACATAACCTTGAATGGCCCTGTATAAATAACGAACTGCAGAAATAGTAATTTAAGAATTATGTCAAATGCTAAAATACCTAGAGATTTTTAGTAAGTATTCTTAAAAAATTGTCAATTGACAAAGGTTACTGCCAAATTGCTAGCTAAAATTTAAGAAATTTAATTAAAAGAAACCAAATAACAAGTTAAAAAACGTATTACATTTATATTTTGTACTGACTATCTTCAAGTCGAAATTTACGAAATTATGGTGTTAGTTGATACCATGCCAATATTGTAAACACCCTGTATACTCCTTCGCTTCAGCCAGAATTCATCTCAGGTTGGCAATGGATGGGACAATAAAACTTTATATGCATACTTACATTGCAATCACGTTTGTTATTAATACAGAAATAAACAGTCTTGCATGATGGAAATAATGAGGTTTGTGGTATATTGCATGCCGGAATCGTTGCATGTATAACATCTATTTTGTTTGGTATATGATAGCCTGTTGTTGTTGGGTGGTGGTATGCATGACCAATACTACTAAACGCTAATCGTTCTAAATTACTGTTAGTGTACTATTCAAAATGCACTTTTTTATAATTTTACGATTTCGACGAACTATTTTAAGTACGCGGAGATGAATTGTGCTAATTCTACGTCATGGTCTTTCTTAAATATTTGTTGATATGTAAATTTTCCGCGAATAAGCTGCGTATAATTAAAATTTTAACTCATATTAAACCTCACGGACTACGAATTATCCATTGTGATCAGAATGTAATTAAGCTTGTTTTATTGCCAATAAACCGAGTTGATTACAGACTACCAACATTGGCGCAAACTAATAAAAATAAGTCATTTTACAATTTCACGTTTCGTTACTTGATCACACTTATTTATTATCACATTAATTTTCGAAAATGGTCTAATTAGGTGATCACGAAGCGAGACAGGTGGAATGAGTTCCTTTATGACATTAAATTTTTATCTTAAATGGAGTGTCCAATACTGAATTTATTTCGACACCCAAGAACTTAAGGATTTGGTATAAGATTGTCAAGCATTACTGAGTAAAATATAGGTATGTTTATTTTAGGCAGGCTTATATGTCGCCAACAGGCTTTCGTGAAGGGGTTCCAGCTTTCGTATGTAGTCATTTTCTATGCTATGCTAAGTGTTAAGCTTCGAAAGGCAAAAATAATCTTATTACTCATTGTAATTATTTCAAAAATAATGGCTATCAACATAAGAAACCTGGGCGTATAGGATCTAAAAAGAAATTAAGGGGAATCTTATTGTAACAAGAAAAATGTTAAAATAACTTTACAGGTTTTATTATGGGTTATATGAAGAAATGGTAAATTCAATAAAGGATTTCGAATCGTAAGTTCAGTAGAACCAATATTCCCCGCCATATTACATAAAATGATCCTTTCTAATCCCCTTTTCTTCAAATCTTTGCCGGTCAACCAGTTGATAATCTTTTGTTTTCCCCAATACGAAGTTGGTGTTTTATATATCCGTCGGGAATGATATGACGGTTCAGAAATACTAGTCTATCTTAGTAATAATCTTTCTTGTGGGATAATCTCCCATTTGACACGACTCAAATATCAATAGTTCTGTTGCATTTCAGAAATTTAACGTGTAATCTTCTTCCTCTTCCCCATACTACTTTAATACCTTTCCTTAATGCTTAACAATCACTAGTAATATTTTTATGTTGTCACCTTTTGTGCTCACAAACCCTCATTTGAACCCTCAAGAATGAACATATTTTATGTTCACTATCAAGGATTTTGCCTTTCTTTCTGAACTTTGATTCCATAAACATGACCTGGTGCAATAATTTAAATTCAGCCTCTTTACTTCCAGTCATTCGACAACATTTTTCAGAATTGTCTTGTGCCATAAAACTAGCTTTATTATGTCTAAGGCCTTGATTGTCTATTTATTTCCATAGGTACGAGAGAGACCTTTTATATTGCGGGATTTGCAATAAAAAACTATAAGCTACCAACAAATATGACTTCATCGTTTCTCAAATTATTCACCCTGATGATCAAATCACTTTTGCATTCGATAAAACCAATCTTCAAAGCATTTTTCAAACGCATCAATCGCTTCTTCTGGTTTTAAAAATCGTTGCCCACGTAATTTATTCTTAATGTATGGGAATAAAAAGAAGTCATTACGTGCTAAATCAGGACTATATGGCTCATCAACTCAACGTTTTTAATGCTCAAAGAACAGCATAGGGTCGATCGGGGGAATAGTAAACAATTTTTGCAACTTTGATATTTTTTCAATTTCATCTCTAAATTATGACTCTAATGTTCTAATATTAACTACAAAATAATTTTTGGGGCATTGTTTGAACCGTAAACTTTACTACAATGCAGAATAATATTAAAAATAAAAATGCGAGACTACTTTAAAAAAATTATCTGGCAATGTTTACCTCAATGAACCTCAATGATCCTTCTAGGTTCAAGAAAATGCAGGGGTATATGTGAGCGCTAACCTTATAAGCTAGTAGATAATTTTGCAGTGTTTACATTTACCCCAAAGTTATTGGAGAACATATATGCTTGAAAAAAACTCCATTTCAAATAGTTTTATTTATTACAAAATTTACAGTTAGTAACACATTAGGAAAAGAAAACAAATTGTTGAACTACACATAACAAAATCGGTACTAAAATGAAATCACTTGAGTGATGGTGAAATTTTGGTATATTTCCTCAATAGATTTGAGAGCTACTACTGCAATGTCACTATCTTTTACAGAACACAAGTATCTATGTATATTCGTATTTTTTTTACCATCTGTGAATTTAACAAGAACAAAATCACCATTTTTCAAATCTGTGCTCTTCAGAGTGATAACTTCTTTATTTTTGTTGCAATCTTCTTCCCAGGAACTCTCTGAATCCCTTTTAAAGGATTCAATTGAATCATCGTCACTTGAGGAAGTCTCTGTTTTTTTCTGCCTCTTCTTTTTCATAGCTCCCTTTTTTTCACACTTCTTCATTCTCTTTGGTCTTTGCCCTGTCTTTGATGGTACAGTGATTGATTTTTGTTTCTTGGTTTTTCGCCCTGCTGTTTTGCGGCCTGCACCAGTGGAGTCCATGGAAGTTTTGCATTAATTAATCCTTTGGGAAATTATTGCAATAGGAACATTATAATATTCTTGAGCTTGCCGGTGAGTTTTGTTGTGGTACTGAACATCTGCCACAGCACTAATGACGTCTTCTTTTGTATATCCCGAGCCAATTTGTTTTGCTCTCTTATTTTCGAGGCATCTGAAATACTTTCAACACAAATTGAAGGAGTGTCTACATTTACCCCGAAATAATGTTTACTTTTGCCCCATATTGCAAAATAGCTGAGGCAAATGTCAACAAAGCCTTAATAATCCTAGAAAATTGTCGAAGCCCGACTTATATTGAGTGCAATTCATTTACATACACTTTTTACCACTAAACGAAAAAACGAAATTTTTGCATAGGTTTGAGAAGCACATGCATCTAGCCAAACGAACTCGTCAAAACAACGTGATTCCTTTAATACTAGTAGTAGGGGAATTCTTTTCGAAGAGTCACGGCCTTTCAGTTTGGCGGTAAATTTGTACTCGTTTTAGGTAGCGTTTAAAATTGCCTGTGTTTATAATTACAACTTTTGTGGGCTTTGTCTTATTTTGTCGACTGCTGCTTACTTTCAGGTTCATATGCATAAATCCATGATTCATCACCTGTCACGATATCATAGACTTCTTTGAAAGCACCGCGATCGTATTTTTTTAACATTTTCTTCCACCAATCAACACGAGCCTTTTTTTGAGCTGATGTCAAATTGTGTGGAATCCAACGCCAACAAATTTTTTTAGCGGCCAAATGTTCATGCAATATTGTATGTATGCTGGTCCCACTAATGCTCAAAGGTACCTCAATCTCATAGTAAGTCACATGACAATTCTGCAAAATCAGTTTCCGCACTGCGTCAATGTTTTCTTGGACAACCACCGATTTCTGACGACCTTCACGAAATTCTTCCTTAAGAAAACTACGACCACGACTGAAGTCCGAAAACCAGCGATAAACTCCAAAAGTCGAATTAAGTCCACGTCTAAAGTTGTAAAAAATTATTGCATGAAAATGCTCCCGATTAAGTTCCATTTTTAACCGTCACATTTTTTAAAAATTTATCACAAAAAACACAAACAACACTCTTTAGCCAAAACCTAATTGAGTAAACCTAACCTCACAATGTCAAACTTCCCTATAAAAACGTTAGTCGCCAGATGGTAGGACTAGTTTAAGAAAATCCCGAAATATAAAAGGCAGCCCTCGTATTTAAAAAAGATTTTTAGAATAGTTGTTAAATACTGTCTTCAAATTTGCCTAGAAAAACGCTAAGCTTTTGGTCTCGGTAAATTACTAAGCAATGGAAACCTGTGGCGTCCCATTTTGTGGGTGATAATCACTTGCAAACAAAAATCATTGAATAATCATAATTGATTTTGTCTGGTACTTTCGTCAATCTGCCAAATTTCTATATTTTAATTTATTCCTATCTGTTAATTGCTATTTTTCTTCCTGTTTCTTGAAATTATCGAATGTTAGATCACCTTCCCTTTAATCTCTGGTACTGCCGCAAATAGACGTTTTTACGAATTTCGTTGTTCTGTAATTAATACATACTTGCACGAGGAAACATAAACATGTAATTGGGATACTATTATAATCATTATTTGAGCCAATAGAGTAGCGGCCCTTTGACTAAATTCCTTTTAAACCATAATTTAAGGTTCATTTTTTTAATTCGTTTTTTATTTCTGCGAGTGTATCGCAGGAGCGCAAAAACAAACAAACGGACTACTTGTTTTTACTCATTCAAATCGGTTAAAATTCGCTTCTCCGCAGGACTATAAGGACTTCGTGGACGCCGAAAACCTCATGCCTCTGGCGACGAGCGACTTTCGGACACCGGTATGTCTCGAAATGCGGACACTGAAACCGGAAGTGTTGTTGGAAACTTTGATACCGCAACAAATTATGGGGGCGTTCACGGAAGTGGACGTGGTACCATCGAAAAAGGCCAACGGTACCGATCTGGCTAGTATGGACAGTTCGGATACATTCGCAAGTTGTGCAACTAATCCGTTTAACTCACAGGTAATTATGTCCACGCACTTATTTTCCTAAAGATATCTACTCGGATATCTTTAGAAGCAAATCTTAACCTATGCGGCTAATGCAAAATTATAACCTTGGTTAGTTTTTTCTCCGTGGACAAGCTTTTGCCTACGGAATTCTTCATAAAATTAGCCTTCGTATGCCTTCCAGAGCAACTCGAGCGACTCATAGTTTTCATTATCCAATTCAACGTACAAATTACGACAGTTTAGAACTGCTAGACTAGCCAACCACAGTCTAATTGATTTTTTTGTCGTTCAGCATTTTCTTGGGTCAAGTCTATAATAATTCATATAGTTATGAATTTCTTTGTGGTATTAGCAGTATTCTTATTTTGTTTTTATATCTCTAACTCTAGTTAATACTTTTAATAATTCTTTTTTGCTTTGGTTTTAAGTGTAAAGCTTATTGCATACTGTTAATTAGACTTCTTCCGTTGATAAATAGATAAATATTATTTTTGATGTAGAAGATTTTTAATTAATTAATAACAACTATTACCGCCTCTGAAAATGTGCATAAAAAACTTAACAAATAGGCAATAAAGTGTAGAACTATCAAAATCCAAGTTAAAAGTTTTTTGATGATTTATTCACATAATTTGCGCGTAAAAATCCTCAATCATCGCATTAATTTGATCTCACAATTACGGTACTATGAGAAGAAACTTCATATGTTCGGGAAAGACATATTTGAATATAAAAAGCATTTTTACATCGCATTAATTTGATCTCACAATTACGGTAGTATGAGAAGAAACTTCATATGTTCGGGAAAGACATATTTGAATATAAAAAGCATTTTTACATATCTCAGATGTACGTTTATGCCGCTAATTAAAAAGTTTATTTGACTTAAACGTTCAAAATTCGGGAGAGCGTTTTTAAAAACATTTATTACACAGAACGCGAAATAAAGTTTTATTTTAAGCGATACAAAAGGTCTTGATTCGGGATACTTTCTCGATGGTGACAACGTCTCACCATAAATAAATCACATATGTCACATTTTTGATGGATAGACACCCAATAGTGATCTATCTATCTGACAGATGATTTTAGTGCTTGCTGCAAATCCCATAAACTCAGGTTTAAAAGCAAAACAGATTCTAAATCTGATCACTTTAGTCCGCGTATCTTGCTGCGGCGATGATATTTGGTCTGGTTGTCTCTTACAGTTAAATAAAAAATCGAGAAAGGTTAGGAATGGCGGAATTCGCACGCCCACTTAATATTTTAAGCTTTATGCCCATTACATTTCGTTAGCAGCGTACCACAATCTGGTAACCACGATCTGGCTGCCATGTAATTACGTTATATGCAAATTTATTTTAATTAAGACAATGCAACGAACAGGTTAGAGGTGATAAAGAGTTGGTAACTTTAAGGTATGTTTATTTAGTTAATTTTAAGTCAAAAAATTTATATCGCGTTTTTGTGATGTAGAAGTTTTATTTTTTCTAAATAATATTTGATGTAATATTGATATTTTTTATTTTTTCTAAATAATATTTGATGTAATATTATATTATTTCAAAAATGAAAGAGACATCTATTTTTTCCTTACGAATTTTATCCAAGTACATACAGAAAAGCTATGACCTGAAAGACATGCAAATGATGCTTTCCATAAGTTCCACATTTGTTTATGAAAGTGTGCACAGTAAATAAACACACGCAAACGAGCAAGGTGACCCCATAGCAGTTAGCAATAGTTTGAAAAGAATTCAATTAAAATAAACAAGGCACTAACGAACGACTACCTGAAGAATAAGTTCGATAAGGAGTTGAAGAACCATTAGTATTTTACTTCCTATAAGACTAAAAACATTTAGAGACCGTATACAGCTGCTGCAGTTAACCCTTTCAGGACGGAACCATTTTGCCGCAAAAGTGCCACACAGACGGCTGTTTTTTACGTGCCTTGAGGACGAATGTCATAGAAATGTACTTCTGGGGCCCTTTATAAAAATGCAAAAAATACTTTTTTTTTAATGAAATAACTTTATTTCAATTTAACATTTTTTTTTCTAGCAAACTTTTGAAAAATATTAAAAGATGTAAATGAACATATACAAAATATTCTTAAATCAAAATATAAAACTCATTATAAACAAATGCCGAAAGTATTTTTTAGAAATTTTTTCTTTGTGTGGTAGATCTGGAAACATGGAGTTACACACAAGCCTTTGAAACATTGTCTACACATATATCTGGAAAGTTTTCTTTTTTTTTTCCTTTGCTGTTGTGTGTGAGCATACAATACATCTTCTAGAGACGGTTTTTGTCTTTTCAGTTGAGGGAACTAATGTGAGGAAATGTCTGTTCTGTAGTCTAGCTATATCAGTAGTTGCAGAAACGGAAGTGGGCTTGTTGGTATTGGATTTGTATCTGCAATAACAAAAACTAATGTCATTTAACAGAAGAATTTGAAAAAAATCAGCAATATATGTGAATAATAGCCAATAAAATGTATAAAAACCTTTTGAAAATTCCATGTAGAAGATTTTGTTGAAACTTAGCAAGCGGTACTGGGCAGTTTCATCAAAAACATGCCATGTGCATTCAACACACAGATATCCTATATATTGAACAATAATGTCATTTTTTTATAATTTGTAAGTATCTGTCTCTGGTCATTTTTTGACTAAAGACTGGAGAGTATAAAAGAGCATCTGTTGACAAATGTTCTTTTATTTCAAGCTTTATATTTCTACTCATGATCATAGGCAACCCAAGAAAGGTGAAAAACTCATCTAAATCAAGATTCTTTAGTAAAAAGATTCAAAAAATAATCTATTTCAGGTAAGTCTTCTCTCAACGTAATGTCCTTTACTCCACTCTGGCTGTCATTAAATTTATGCAACTTAGGCAGTTAATATGTATGTCACTATAGTCCTTGGTGCCATTATCATTGTGAATGTTTTCGTTTGAGGTATTATGATGACTCTCTAAACTTACATCTTGCAATTCTTCATCAATCTCTTCTGCAGAACTGCTTCCTCCTCCGCCGACATCACTTGGCAAATATTCACTACCACTATCAATAAATGATATGATCTGATCCCAACAATTCTTTGAGACTCCTTACTTCCGCGTCTGTTAGTCCGCAATAATTGCCTGTAGCGTTACTATTTGTTTTTTTTTTTTCGCAAAGGTCCAGCTTCTTCTACGCACGACATTTTTGATGCAACTAAAACACTTACAAATACGTGGTGTCAGGTTTTTGAGATCTTTGACAGATGAGCGCGTCTCTCTTGTTGAGTGTATGCCATACGGACGAGCGTCACATATATCGGACAGTGGCCAATATATATGGCGCTAGTCCATATGCCCAATTTTCCAGTCATAACATATAGGCAGTCGGTTCACTGCCGATCACTTCAATTTTTCAATCCTGGGTGATTTATCATCGCCTTTAAAGCCTAAAAAAATCCTGACCTATATAACCTGTGATGCATTTGTCCCACTGTCAGATATATATGTCAACCATCTTGGAAGGGTTAAAAGATCTCTCAATCGCGTTGACTAGAACAATCTTGTGCAGTTAAAATTTAAACTTTGAGTTTAAATAAATTTAATTCAATTTATTTTGCATATTCGTTCAAGATGAGGACACATAAAAGAAATAAGTATTTGTGGATAGCGAATGTTGGTAATTAAAAGCAATAGGCTCAAATGTAACAAAAAAAAATTGAATTGGTGACACCAAACCTAAAACTTTTGTCGCCTGTTATATTTGTGAAGGACTTTACTTGAAAATAGTCTATAATTAATGGCTAATTTTTAAAATGGCTCTTTAATAGTTGCCGAAGCCGAACACTGCCGACTTGTTCTTCGAAATGTTAAATTGTCAACGCCAGTGTGATCGCCGCGCATTTGCTGAACTATTTATTTCATAGGGCGATTTGACATCGGAAATCCTCGAACCTACAACACTCGCCTTGGACAGCAACCTCTACGTGAATCCTTTAGACAAGTCCACAGACAACAGTCCGACAACAATTCCACCGCCAGTACCACCCCCGCCTCAAAGAACCACCGTTAAAAAGTCAGCTAGTGGCGACACAGCATTAAGAAGTTTGGGAGCATCCCCATTGGACGAGCAAGTTGGCTTCGGAGGTTTCGCTCAGATTATGGACAGAGGCAGCAGGGTTAGTCTCAACGATTCGCCTTTGCTGAGAAATAGGAAAACTAGATTCCAACAGGTTAAAAAATCAGGGTATCGAGTGGTAGCGGCGTTCGTAATATAAGACGCGCTCTTGTAGGGGGGCAAACCAAAGACGAGGTTTGGTGATGCCCGACAGGAACGTGATTCGCAAGAAAGTCTGGATAAACGGAGAAAAATTTCGCTTATTCCAACTCGGGGACTGGCATCAGCTACACGGATCCTTAACCAGCATTTGTTCGGACATAGTTTGGGAGGATCACGAGCTGGTAAGTATCTATCACCCATATAGTTGTAAGATAATAATATAGTGGCCCTACTACAGTAAAAATTGATGCGCCGCAGGTGGCTATGGCATTTTTGTAGAGAAGGTGTGGATCTTTTGTGCATGCGTCACCCCCAACTAACCGAATTGTCACATTGTCGTAATTTTTCTGAAAAAATTGACTAATTTTCATAAGAACGCAAAATCAGTCTCTGAAATCCGAATATAATTGGCAACGCGGAGCTAGGAATTGCTATGGCCAGAGAATACTAACAGTCTGTGACATTGTTGCTTACATCTTTGGTGGTTATGATTCTCTCTTTTTGGTTATTTACATTTGAATCCAAATTGCAATAAAATATAGCTAAATTATTGTGTGAATTAATACAAATTTTTTTAGCATTTATCAATTGCTGTTAAATATTTTTAAGGGGGAATTTTTTGCGGTAGCCGCCATGCAATTTTTGCTAGCAAGATGTTTGTTAAATTTTGAGACAATAAACTACACTTTTTAGGGTTTGGTTATGTTAATTCTGTTACATTTAGGGCTAATTGTTTATTGACTTGTTTTATACAAGTTTTTAATTTTCTTCGTTACATTTTCCAATACCTACAGTTTTTTAAAGAGATTGTCAATTGGTACTTTTCATAATTATATATTTGTGAGGCGAAACTTTCTGCAATTACTAGCCTTGCGATGAAAGAATGGCCGTTCTGTGTATATGAGGTGCTTGAACATTTTTTCCACTTAGATGTTTCCAGTGCCATATCTAGTACCTCAAAGTTATATTTACACTTTTAGAGTCACATTTCGTGAATTCGACTTTATTTACATTTTCAGTGTAGGTTAAACCAATAAATTTATAAAAACAAACCCTTTGCGCCTATTTACGGCCACAAATTCGGCAAAAAATAGCTGGTATCGTGTCTATAGGACTTAAAGAACCAAAACTCCAAACTACTTACAGAATTATATTGAAAACGCCGATCCGGATGCTGTAATTCAGCATAATATTAACCATGCACTTGTCGCCAATTTTTTTGCCTGAAAATGTAATAGGATTTCGACATATTTTGAGAAAATACTGCCGTAAAAATGCAGCATCCAAATATTGACGACCTGCCAGCGGCAGGTTGTTGAAAGCCGCAAGGCCTTATGGGTCGGACGTCGGTTAAAAAAGAAATTTAAAATCTCGCGCATGCGCATATTGAATAGACCTTCTCAAAATTTTTCCTGTACTATTAGCATAGGCAAGGCCTCCATATGTTTAATAGCTATATGGTATCACCTATAAAAATACAACATTGCTCTTAAAATGTGCTACATATGATAAACTGACAAGTAAAGATAAATATGTTTGTTTTAAAAATGAAAATATGCTAGAGAATTATCAAACTTGAAAAAAGAGACTTGCGGACTTATGTTAGTGAAAGATTTAAGATATTTTGGTATACACAAAACTCCTGTGAAACTCCAACATTTTTAAATATAAGAATTCCCTTAGTATCGACTTATTTTATTTTATAGAAAGGGTTTAAGAAAATATTTATTTAGCCTTTTGTTTTATATTAATTTAACGATCACGCAAAAAGTGGAAAACCCTTAAAACAGCGGTTTTAACCGGGAATTTCCTTGATCTGTTATAGGAAAAATAAAACAACTAAACAATTTGGTATTACACCAAAGTTGATGGGCGCAAACATATTTTTTCAGATGGCTCCAGTTATAGAACATATTACCAGTATTTAAGATGATTTACATAAGCTTTATCCATTTTCCTTTTTCTACAATTTAGATGACTCAGTGGGGGAGATACATATTTTCTCTAATTAAAATAGCAAGGTAGACAATGTTAAAATTGTTAGTGCAATTCTGCAAACGTATAATCACTACTACAATATATCAGTGCTGCGAATACCCTCCGCTGCTGGAGCATCGAAATTTGTAGAAAAATTAAAAATTCTTGTTCTAGAAAAAAAAATGCTTAGGAAAGATTCCTTCTTTTTATTGCATTTTTCGTATCCTTTGCTTAAACATTTTTGAGGTACCTATTTGATATTATGTGACAGCAGTGGCATTTGCAATATAGATTCCTTTACAATTTCAATTGTACAAATTTTTGTAGAGGAAGACTAAATTGGATTATTAATTCCGTTAATTATCAATACAGGTTGGTAAAAGTAATTCAAGTCAAATTGAAAAATCGAAACAAAACATTTAAAAAAACTAGAGACTATCTTCAGAATTTCATTTTATTTACAATTAAAAATCAGGATAACTTTGTGTATATTTGTATAAATATATATTACAATAATAATTGAACGTTTGAACGTACAACTTTACAAATCAAACTCAGTTTTTAAGTTCAATTTAACATTTTTTTTCTTCTTCGGTTTGCAAACATCATTTTCCACAGAAAATATTGAATATTTCAAACGCGGCAACTATAACACAGAATTAAAACTCTGTATCCTAGAAAATTTAAATTAAATCTTAACTTGTTAAAGGAAATGGCTGGCATTGCTTTTCAGTCTGTTTTAAATCGAAAACATTTCTCTATTTTCTCTGTTTCGTCGGGGATTATTATGTAAGCTCAACGGGGGATTATAACGTAAAATCCAAGAGTTATCTCCAAATCTCCTTAAATGCAATAACATCATTTCCTGAAACGTTTACCTTTTAGATTCGATGTTATTAAATGCACAATAGATCTACTTTTAAATTTAAAATCCAATTTCGGTACTTCATGAAAATTTGAATATTTCGTTAAGCTGTTCCATTGAGAAGTGCGCGATTTAAAATGAACTTAAAATTTCCGACGAGTTTTCAGGGAATTCAACACTAACTCTCTATTTTAGCAATTAACGTTTCTCCTAGTTTATCTATTTGGCATTTAGCTCGAAAATTCGTCTCAACAAAAGATCGTTTGTAGCTACGGACAAAAATGTGGCATCTTACAAGGTTTGTACATTTTGGGATAGCTTGACAATTTGGTTTTGCCCACCGACGCGAAAAAAAATAAAAGAGTATTATTAATTAAATGATTTCCACTTCAAACGAGCGAATCTTTCATTGTTGTCATGATTGACCCTTTATTTCTTAGTTATCGAAACTAAAATTATGACTGGCTTCCGTCCTTTAAATTGTCCTTGATTGTCCTCTTTTTTATTTCATAAATGTATCCACAATCAAAATACTTTTGGATCCAGTCATAATTTGGATACCGTCCAAGAGTCTTGATGCTCGATCAAAAATCGACAGTTCTTTTTGGTGGCAGATGTGGAGTCAGCACCCCAAAATGTCTTCTTCGAATGCGAGCAACTTTTGTGTTCCAATGCTTATATTCTGTACAATACCGTATGGATAAAAACTAAAAAATACATTTTTCGACGGATTTTTCACTACTATTGGAAAGTGCGTCTCAGTTCCTACAGCTCTGTGTGTAGCGGGTGACATAAAATGTACTTATCACCATACTTTTTCCTAAATATATTTTTAAGTAAGGAATATATAAAGCCCTATTTTTGATATATTTAGTTTGAGGAAACCACTCCCAGTTTAATCAGAAGTGATGTCAACGTTACAATTTTCAATAGATTAATAGCTGGCAGTTTTCTGCCCAAAACCTAAGTTGGGCATGAATTCGCTACTAAATAATTTTTATTGCCTGATGAGCTATGAAAACTACATATCCATTTCTATCTGTCAAGTGGCCCATTCATGGCGAACTTAGGCTTGGAAAGAAATGTTAACATGTAAAATAAATTAAAACGAAAATTTTGGGTATATTTCTATTATAAGGTTGACATCTATCAACAAACTCAAAAAATGAGGCTAATATTCAAAAAAATAGCTTGTATACGTTACAAAAATGTTTAAAAGTAGGAGAAACCCTCACTCTTCGTATTACATTATTATTTGGTTCAATTTTTCAGTGATCTCATTTTTTGATTTAGGTTTAATATGCTGCACCTATATTTCTATTAGGTAAAAATGGAGGTAGCAAATCGTCGCTGTCTGTAGATTCGATGGACAGTAGGAGCACAACATCACCGCAGCTCGAATTGCATCGTCGGTCAAAATCAATCCTGAAAAAAGGTGACATCGGTGGCGGTAGCAGAAAAGAAATCGACCCAGAAAGCGAACGCCTTATTTCCGACAATGGATCAGGTAAAAAAAAATATCTAAGCGCCTGATTCGAACTCGCTAACGTTTCGCCAATCACCGTGTTGACTTAAAAAAAAATAAAAATTGACGCAGAAGGAATCCAGAAGTTTTGTAAAATGTATTACAGTAGCCTGTGGAAGTTTCTTTGAAAAATTAAGTATGTACATCGTTATTTTGGTTGTCAGCTACGATTACAAAGAGCATAAGACTGCACCACTTTCAGAGCATTCACTTTCTCATGTTCATTATTACGTCCAATTTTGGATGACTCCAACATTTGTGGCCGTATATCGGCAATAACACGGCGAATGTTGTCTTCCAAATCGTCAAGCGTTTGTGGTTTATCCGCATAGACCAATAGCCCCACAGAAAGTAGTCTAGCGGTGTTAAATCACAAGATCTTGGAGGCCAATTCACAGGTCCAAAACGTGAAATTAGGCGGTCACCAAACGTGTTTTTCAATAAATCGGTTGTAGCACGAGCTGTGTGACATGTTGCGCCATCTTGTTGAAACCACATCTCCTGGACATCACGGTTATTCAATTCAGGAATGAAAGAGTTAGTAATCATAGCTCTATACCGATCACCATTGACTGTAACGTTCTGGCCACCATCGTTTTTGAAGAAGCACGGACAACCAGCCCATAAAGCGCACCAAACAAGCAAGCGTTGTTCAGTAATGCCAACTTAAAGTTCTATACATCGAAAAAAACACCCATTATAAGTCTCGATAATATTAAAAGCACTGTCATCATTGAAAATCTATTTCTCTATTATAGTCTCCACTATAAAACACCTGATTATGCAGTGAACAGGCGTGCGGAAAGTCACTTTAAGACTACCACTTCGTCCTTTTCCGGTATTTTGGCCACGGGTTTGGAAGCGATATTTTAGCCACTGATAATATTTTTAAGTCTGTCATTTCTAATGGTTAAGTCATACGTCATTGAGTATCCAAAACTAATGACTATAGAAAAAGTATAACATGTAACTTCTTCAGGTACTCATTCGTGATTAAAGTGTCGTCTTTCCCTAAATCGTAAACCGTTTCTTTTTTTTTTTGGAGATCACTGTGAATCTCGTTTTATCGTTTTAGGCGTTTATGATGGCGGCGGAGACTATTCACCATCGCCGCCACCAAGTCGGTTGAGCGGAAAGACAAAAATAGTACCTAACAGAGCCGCATATCAGCAGGACGTTGACAGATCGCGAACGTTGAAGTCTCAACTGTTTTTTATGGACGATGTCGTCAAACAGGCCGAGAACCGAAAGGGACCGGCCGAAGTAAATCAGGTTTTGAATCGCGCAAAATTCATTAGACATTACCGATTAACTTTGGGTTTTAGGTGCCCCTGTATATATGTCCGCCGCCACCGCCGATGGACGAAGGCAATTTTTCGCCGACGGAAGAAACTCGCCTGTTGCCTATTTTAGGGTCGACGCCCACTTCCGGTTCCTGTAAGCAACCAAATTCCATATCGAAAGATCATATACATCCGTCCGCGTAGCATTCGAAGGTAAAGCTAATTAATCACAGGCATGCTATTTTTAAATAATTCATAGTTCAGGAAAATTAAAACATGAAAAACAACAATACCAACTCTTACCGACCTTATGATAGCTAAAACAATTTTTTGATATTTATTTTTCCTTTCCACATTTCAAACATTTAAAATGTAATAATTAATTAATTAATTTTTATTCATTAATTAACATAAAATAATTACCTAACCTAGTTAATTAGGCTCTATAAAGAAAATTTTATTTGTTGACATATGTATATATATATATATATATATATATATATATATATATATATATATATATATATATATATATATATATCGATATTTCAGTTTCGACCAGCTAAATCTAAAGCACCACGTGTTTAAAGTTAAAAATTGAATTTTTTTACAAAAAGTGATATCATAGAAATTGCTAAATATATAACAAATTGTGGTAATTTGTTTTTTACTTTTATTATACGGGGTCTTTTCTAATTGTCTGTCAATAATTACGAAGGCGATTTTTGGGTCCATTTTAAAAAGAAAACTTCATATGAACATAAGTCGTAATCGTCTTAACTTTTGGTAAAGATGAAGATAAAGATAAGCTTTATTTCCATAAGACTTGATTTACAAGTGTTGGATATTGTCAGCATAATACGAATGTAAAAGTATATAATTATCTTGGTACAATTAGTAAATTAATAATAATAATAATAAGTAATACGTATTAAAAGGTATCACAATAAAGAAAATCCTTAATATTGTAATAGGCAAGGCTTAGCAATCTGTCTTTAAGATTGCATTTGAATTTTGTTTGACTAGTTATCTCCTTCAGTTCGATAGGCAATTTATTATAAATTTTTACAGTCAAAACAAGGACAGTCGATGTGTAGATATTTTGATGTTAAGATTCGGTCTTAAACTGTACGGAATATCTAAGTTTCTTGAGAGCATATAAAGACTAGAGTTACTTTTTACATACGTGGCACAATTTAGTATGTGCATACCAGGAAGTGTCAATAAAGAGTGTTGTGAAAATAGGTCCCGACAAGAAAAATCCAGGGCTTAAACAGTATAGTCCGTAAAATGCGTTTCTGTATCCTAAAGACTTGCTCCGCACGTGGTGAACCTCCCCAACAAACCAAGGCGTAGTTGAGACAGAAATAGACATACGAAAAATAATTTATTTTTAACAAGGGGAAAGAAACCTGATGGTGGCGCCTCCATATGACAAAGCGGTAAACAGAAACTTTTTTGAGAATGTGGTCCACCTGTTCGAACCAGGAGAGTCTCGAGTCTACATAAACTTAGAGGAATTTTACAACACTTTTCTGTTGAATTGTGCTTTCATTAAAGCGTACTAATAACCTCTTATTTAAATCCCGTGTTGTAAAGGCGATCATCTCAGTTTTACTTTCATTCAATATCAATTTGTTAATTTCTGCATAATGTTTCATTTGCTTAACAGTTGTCTTTGTTGCAATGTTAAGTTGCTAGTTGCTAAGTTGGTAGTAAAGTTTTCAAAATTTTTTTTTTTTAATATTTGTAATACCACTTTAGATACCACACATGTACTATGTATCAAGAGACATTATTTAGTGTACCATTTTTTTTATTAAATCCAGTCGCGGGAGTACGGAATTTCACATGTCTATTTTAGCAGACATTGTTGGTAAGCCACTGATTTCTCACAAAATAAAAATTATTCTTACAATCTCCAATCACTGACAGTCTATGAACAAATAATATTTTGGTTGGAAATAATCTGAATATCTCGCACGTCTTGGTTTGGAAAATTTTGCACGATTTTCTATTTGTACCCCATAGCATAATCAACGGTCCAAGCGTTACTTCCCAGAGATCCTTACGTGTCAATTCTTGTCAATTGTTTTTGGACAAAATTGCGCATTATCCCTTGTTTGAAAAAGAAATACTATTTACAGATGAAAGTAACTTTTCCAGAAATGCAATCAGAAATTTCCATATATTTGGGCCGATGCAGTTGTAGAATGTAAAAATCAAGAAGTTTTCGGTAAATGTTTGGTCTGGAATTGTAAATGGTAAATATTTGAGCGAAAACCATACATCAGATTGAAAGAAATCAAAAAATTCAATTTTCTTAGAAATGATTGGAAATTGTATTTAAAAAAAATTGTGGTATACTAAATAATGCCACTTGATACATAGTACATGTGTGATAAATTTCATTAGAATATCTAAAGTGGTATTACAGATATTAATATATATAAAGTATATATAAAGTTCATATAAAGTTTCCTTGTTAAAATGGACCCAAAAATCGCTCTCTTAATTATTGACATTCAATTAGAAAACACCCTTAAAATGTAATAATAATAACTATGTAAATAATAAAAGAATAATTTAGTGTCATTAGGTTGAAATTGGTAAAAAAATGGAGTGTCTGATTTACAGTAAAAAAAGTTGTAAAGTTTTGCTTACGCATTTCCGCATCTAAAGAAATATAAATTTATAAAAATTGACTGTTCAAAGTTTACTAAATTTTTTATTATACTTTTTGCGTTGTTTACGGTGCAAAAAGTTTTATTTTTTCTACTAGAGCATAAATTATTCAATTTATTTCATTTATTATTTCAAAATTCACTGTCAACTAATGCAGACCTTGCTCTAAAGCTCCTTGATAAAACAGACGCCGTAAATATGCACCTCAGGCGGCTTTGACTCCAATTGGCATTCCGCATTTTTTTGTTAAACAGCTTAACTAACGAAAACTAACCAGACTAAAAACTGTCAAATTCAACTGTCAGCGGCCCAACACAAGGGAGTTTTTGATGTTGGCTTCAAAAGTGCATCATCATTAGGGTAGGCAAGACCTATACATCTAGGGACTATATGGATCGAGAGCATTGAGTGAACTAAATAGTTTTTTGCTTCAAAGTTGAATTATATAAAAAAAGATTCAACAACCGTGAGTACCTTTTTTATAGGTTTTGGACAATATTGTCTGTTGAAATTGGGCCGCTACTCTAGTAGTTACCGTAGGACATGGTGTTTTGTTTTACATATTTACTTCCAGTTCTAGAACAATAAATAAATCAACTACTTACCGTTTGGTAACTAGTAAGAATAAGTTTGCGATCACGAAATAAATGCGGTAATAAAGTATCATCGTTCTATGGTGCAAACTGTTATCGGAATTTCGTCTCTATGTATTTTAGTAATACATGCGATTTAAATTTTACAGATACTTGAATCAAGTCCTAGGTTAGTTCAGCGGTCATCAACGTATCGCATCACTGAAGTTTTAATGTGCAGAGTGTTGAGACGCCACGGAATTACGCTCGTCGACATTTCGAATGCATTGTGACCGTGTGTTCCAGTGCTATGACATTGATGTAATAAATCATCGAGATTCCTATTTCAAACGAACGATGCTTTTTTTTAAATGATGAATATATTCTAAATATATTTTGAACTAAACGTGATGACTTAGGCGTAGTTACTAATATATTGAAATAAAAAGTGCAAACATCGCAAGTGATAGACAATTCTAGTCCTCTATAAACGTTATTGTTAAAGAAATGTGAACCGGTTTTAATAAACTGCGATAGTTGGCTGTTTGATGGGTTGGTAGTCGTTGGTTAAGGAAAAACGGTTGTGTTTAAGTGATTTAAACTATCCAAATGGTAGTCAATGATACAGCAATACATTTGGTAATAAACTTCGGATCGTCTCGGTTTTTATTGCGCGTTTCTCCATAGGAATTGGCACCTGTATAATACAGTTACCCCTAATGTGTCATTAAAGACTAAGACGGTTCGACAAGTAAACAAAATCTCTATGAGAACATTGATGTTATAAAAATTGACTGGCCAAGCTTATTTTTGTCTGTGATTAAATTAATTTTAAGTGATAAGAGTTGTAAAAATGATACACTTCAACTTGACGTTTGTTACTTTTTAAGGGTTTTTATTGTAAATTTCGAAATGTCTCTTCTCGCAGATCAGTCTTTTCACTTTTAATGGTTTAGTATGCCTTTGATTTTTTTTTACGCTGTCCTGTTGTCGCAGGCTGGCCCGTAATCACTTTCACTATCTTGGATCGGATTTCGCAAATAACGTCTACTAATGACAGATGAGTTGTATTAAAAATCAATCGCCTCACTCTAAACAACTTATATCGCTACTTCTTACCCTGTTAGAGGTTGCAAAGAGTATTTAGATGAAATAAAATTCGGTGTATAGAACTAAATCTTCGGGTTCATGTATCTTGACGACTTTAGGAAAGTTGTGCGCTAAAATGGCCTAAAACTATTCAAAAAATTGTTTTTTGCTAGGAATCTAATGCATTAATCGAAGAGATTTTTCCAAAGATGTTGAGATACTGCATTCCGATAAAGCTTGCATACTAAATCATCTTTTTTTACCCAATTATAGATATTTTTTGCCTTAGATCTTACCATAGCGATATCGTTGTGATAGAGCACAAACGCCAGTGTTATCAAACATGTCAATTATGTAAATAAAACAAAAATATCGCAAATATGCAAATTACTTGTAAATAAAATTTTACAATTTTCGAGTCAAAAAAATGCATTTGAACTACGTATTTAAAAGCGCAATCAAAAGTGGTAGCAACATTGATCGTTGTATGTGTTTAGCAGTAGTCTCCATTGCTGCAAGCATTTTTGATACGGCATTTATAACCTTAGTTGTCACTTGGAAGAAATTTATTACAAATATCCATGTGTGGAAAAACTTAAGTAGACTTTTGTAAACTAGGCAAAACGACAAGTGGTTTTTACAAAATATGCAGAAGAAATTTTATAGTTATTGTTACCGCGTAACTCACAGAAGAACTGGAAATCAAAAATAAAATACAAATTACGGTAGTTCAAATGCACGTTGAAGCACCCCGCATTTTTGCTTTATCATACCGGAAGAAACTAGTAATTTTTTAGTTTTATAGTCGTATTTGCCGTAAAGCTGTAGATATTTCTTCATCAGTGTCGGAGTCTGTAGAAGTATTAATTCTCTGACTGATTTAAAGCTACGCTATAAATTGTAAATGGACAACAAATGCAACGACTATTTTCTATACTTTGTTCTTTACATTCTTATTCCTTCCATATTTTTGTATGTTTTCTTGTTTTATTTGACTATACTATAAACCAGTAGTTCTGATTGAATTCGTGTTTTTGCACGATTCAACGCATTGTGGGTCAGAATTTTTGGTCGACATAAAAGTGTTCACAATCATAATACGCAATTATCGATTTGTTAAAGTTTTAGATATCAGTTAAGATGTGTAAACAGACAATCGCGAGTTCAAGTACAATAAACAATTACACACTGACTCACAACGCAAATATACCGAAACAATCGGCGTCGTTACATTGAATGGTTTTTGCAAAAACCCCTTTTATATATATTTTATTGTTCTAAGAAATGCACACGAGGAATCATTCGATGCTAAGCGCCTCTGTTGTAGATACCCTAATATAATGTGATTGCACAAAGTTGTTACAAAATGATAACAAACATGAATTTCATTCCTGGCTGAACTTTTGTTGGAACAAATTATAAAATTGTTAAAAATATCTAGCGTCCTTCTCTTATTTATCAAACCACTAGAGCCTACATTATTTCCTTGTAAGTTTCACTTTTTTCAATATGTCGAGGGTTAAAATACAGTTTCAAAGTAGATATCAATTATTCGTGATAGCTCAATTCTTAGTATTCTAAATGTATGGGCACATATATTTATCAACCCTATTGTCCCTTGTCAACGGCAATGAGGTTTGATTCTAGAAATTTGAAAAAAGAATTCATTAAGTGTATTGCCCGAAACAAAATGATGCAGATTATTTTTGAGTGTTTGAGTGTGTCTAGTCAAAACACCTCATAAATCTAACACGACAGAAAAGGGGAGTTTCTATTTCAAAGTGGCTACTAATTTGGCCTATCTTATACATAAAATATTTCTTGGGTGGTTGGTACCCATCACTCAGGGCATTTTTTTCCCTATAATCACAGTACTATTAGTACTAGACCAACTAAATGAAACAGAAATGTGTTTAAAAAACTCCCAAACACCAATCGATAGAAAATTAAAAAGTACTTACATATCGTAACCTGATGGGTAAACAAATGGCGTTTTATTTGGATTAATTCGGTTATAGTCACTAAACACAAATGAGCAAACTATACCTCTCACATAAACATCTTTTTTCTCATAAGACTCCTTCCCCCGTACTATACCTATGCTTGTATATTATGATTTTGAGTTTATATTTTGAGAATTTATTGTAACTTTTAAAAATTACTAATTCAAAATATTTAAAAACTAAGACCGTTCGACGAGTAAACAAAATCTCTATATTATGTATTAGGTATCATGAAAACACCTAATTCAAAAATTCTCCAGGGAGTTGCATAAAAAAAAGGACTTAGATTCTTTTAAGACTTCCTTTCCAATTTGGTCCCCACATTTCTAAAAAGTAAAACTATTTTGGCTACAATATTCAGTGCCGTTTTTATTTATTTTTTTGTTAATTTTTTATTCTATTACCTAGAGAGACGTTAACGCAATTCTTGTCTAAACTATAGTTTGGATACTAATTTAGAAAACACGCTGTATATTATACTATTACATTGTCATATACAAATGGCATATTAGTCCTGCGCATTCGTCTATTCTTAGAGTTGTATGCCTCTCATATTTTTACTCTTTTAAAACGAATAGAGACATTATCAATAACAGGACATGTTTCTAGAAACAATACTTAGCACATTCTTTAGTGTCTCTGGAGCTTGCAAAAACGCTTTTGTTATATATTTTTGAATGAAACAGTAAAGATATCGAAAAATTGATTATTAAAACCAAACTTGTCGTTCGTCATAATTCCTTTTTTGTGTTTTAGTATTTATTGCAAAGAAAATATCTAACAGCGTAATGTGATAAAGCTAAAAATCTGCATTTAAATTGTAGTCTATGGATAAGACAAATAGGCCAAAATAAAAAAGAAGAAGCTGATTGTTCAAAGACGAAGAAACTTTAGGTTAGGCATCTATAAACAATTTATATTTTCTATACATTTATAAGCATGTCCGAGACCAAAAAATTAGCCCATTCTCTGGAGGACAAAACGAGAACCAGGGACGTTATTGCAGAAGGGAACGTCTCATTCGAGTCGTTGGTTTTGCCTGGCAATGTTCTCAAAGGATTGATTGACAACGGATTTCACAAGGCCTCTCCTATTCAAATTAAAGCAATCCCTTTAGGAAAGTGTGGATTCGGTAACGTAAAATTAGTGCAGTAGTAGAAAATGCGATAACAAACTATTTTCTAGATTTGTTGGTAAAATCGAAATCGGGCACTGGCAAAACATTGGTATTCACAATTGTAGCACTTGATACTATAGATTTTGCTAAGATTGGGCCACAAATTTTAGTTGTAACTCCGACTAGAGAAATTGCAGTTCAAATTCGAGATGTATTTAAGGCTGTTGGATGTTATTTTGATGGTACCATGTTCCAAATTTGCCAATTAGGTAATATTAATGAATATTTATTTTAGGACTAAATGTAGAGTACTTTATTGGAGGATTTCCGATAGAACAGGATAAACTTAAATGTAGATCCTGTCATGTGGCTATTGGTACACCAGGCAGACTGAAACAGCTTATACAAACTGGTATTCTCAATGTAAGTTTTATTAGGCTTTTTGTGCTTGATGAGGCTGATAAGCTAATGGAAAATAGCTTTGAAAATGATGTTAACGAAATTTATAATAGTTTACCTGCAAAGAAGCAAGTTATAATGTGTAGCGCGACATACACCAAAGAACTAGAGACACTTTTAACTAATTATATGCTTAGCCCAACTTATGTTAGTGCTGAAATTGAAACTCCACTTCTGTTGGGGCTTAAGCAATTTGTGAGGATTACCAAATTTGCAAATAATATTGTACAACAGACAAAGGTTAAGAATGATGATTTGGTAAAAATTTTTGCAGTGACATCTTTTACCCAGTGTTTGGTATTTTCAAATTATCAGTCACGTGCTGAAAGCACAAGCAATTTTCTTAACCGAAATGGTTGGAGTTCTACTTATATATCTGGGGCCCAAAATCAAAATGACCGGCTTAATGCTATTTCAAACTTGAAGGACTTTAAGTTTAGAATATTAATATCTACAGATCTGACTGCTCGAGGTATTGATGCAGCTAATGTAGACTTAGTCATAAATTATGATATTCCCACGGATGCTATGACCTATTTACACCGAATGGGCAGAGCTGGTAGATATGGTTCTACAGGTGTTTGTATTAATATGGCATCTGAAGGCCAAGAGGTTGTGTTATTACAAAATATATTGGGTAGTATTGGAGGAACCAATTTATCCATACCTATTCTAAATGATTCATTCAATCTAAAAGAAGAGAATTTGTCCAAAGAAAATTTGCTTTCTGGAGTTGTCTCAGAAAAAAATGTCTCATTCGACCAGTTCAAAGTGGAATTAGACAAAATAAAAGTAAAGCCTGATAAAAGTAGAAAAATAAAACATAAAAAAGATGATCTAGATAAAGTTAAAGGAAATGTTGAGGAGAGTATTGCAGATGTTGAAGCAACATCAATTTTAGGACAGTTAGCAGAAGGAAATTTTGAATTGGGTAACAATGGTAGTTCAGATGATTTAAATTGCAAAATCAATAGTTTTGAATTATTAAGTCACTTAACATCAGATGCTTTTAACATACCAAGTAACCAAGAACATAAACTTATGAGTGAGGATATAGATATAACAAAAATATTAACTGAACTAGCTGAAAAAGGCAAGACAGTTCTTAATTCAAATTTAGATATCAATTATATCCCATCTAACCCAAATTCTGAAAGTGATATATACAAAAAAAATAGAACTCTGTTTAGCGTCGCCAAAACTTTAAGTAACTGTGATACAGATCAAGATGACATACAGGCTATAGGTCAGTACCTGAACTCTAGAAGATATGAGGATTATTTACAAGAATGCAATGTATTGGCAAGTGAAATAAGACAGCAAAGGTGTTCCCAAAAACAAGTTTTGGAGAACATATTTTCAATGGCATATCAATTTGCAATAAACCCTTCAACAGTTCATTGGCAAAACTTGCTTCCTGAAGAAGAACGAATGAAAATTGTAAATGGTCAAGTAGAAGATGATTGCCAAGATGATATTGTTACAGATGAATTTGGAGAGGAATATAATGATAATGATGAGGAATACAACTTTGAGTTAGAGAAAGAAATTGAAGTTAACTATGACATGCAGCCGATTGATGATTTTAATTGTCTTAAATGGGTCCCAGTTGAAGCAAAGTCTCAAAAATCTAATGAGTACATGTCAGTTGCCAAAAATAATTTCATTAATAATGAAGTAAGGGAATCTGGGAATCACAGTATAGCTCCATCTTACATCGAAAAGTATTGCAATCAATATGGCGAATATTTTAGGCATTGTAGTGAACATCTGTGGCAAACTGGGTTGTCTTTTAATACTGTAGAACAGTTTGATCAGTGGTTCTGCTATGACTGGCAAGCTCAAGTGTCAGCAGTAAGAAATTGTATTCAGCAAAAAATTTATGTTGAAGAAATGGCAGGCATTCAAAGACAATCTGCTGAGAGAATGGAAAAATCAGATCAACAAATATAAATGGCACTCATGTCTTTTCTAAATATGGAGTGGTTACTTAGGGTAATTATTGTAAATATTAAATTTCAAATATATAATATTTGTAAGTTTTTCAATTTCTTCGCATTTTTATTTGGTATAAAATAACACCTTTTCCTAAGTTTATATTTGGTATAGAAATATACAGGATGTTTGTGGAGCAAAATTAAATTTTTTGAATTCAAAAAACTTAGTGGCCCAAATCTTTTCCAAGTAACTCAAAATTAAAAAAGAAGTGGAAGGCCTTATTTTTAATTGATTAATTTTATAAATTTTGATTCAGTACAAAAAAATTGTGATATAAAATTTATCTATTTTTATCTGTCAAGTAGCGAATGGATGACCAAGTTTTGGTTAATTCTGGTTAGTTGGCATCGTTTTAGAAAGAAATATATATTATAAATAATTATAAAAATAAAATATGTCATACATCATGTAATTCTCAAATATCGTATTTATTATAAGCTGAAACGTCGTCCCGTTAATTAAATAAATCAAATCAACATCTTTAAAGCTGTAGAAAAAACTACAGTGCTAATAACTGCATCTTACGTCACCTGGTACCTTCCTTAACCATTTCTATTTTATATTCTTTGATCACCATCTGACTCGGTAAGGACGGGCACATATTCAAATTTATTTTACCCACCGCTTTTACCAGATTTACATAGATGCAATTAAAATTATTTTAGAAATTTTAAAAGCATCAAATAAAATAATGTAATGAAAGATCGAAATATCGTTAACATTTGAAAACTTAGTTTTATCCGTTTTTTCTTTTTAATTTTCTTTTCTTACGTTCCCTAATGAAATAAATCTTCCTGTGGAGAGGTATATTGAATATTGTTTCCTTCAAGTTAGTATTCATTTGATTAGTTTTTGTTACACTTGAATAAACCTTATTTCTAATGAAAAAGTAAATGACTGAAAATATGTAAGCATGTCAAAACTTAAGAACAAAATAAGCCACAGTTTAATTTCGGGCCAGTCGAAGGGATTCTGAAAAAGTAATAGAGACAAATAATGAAATTTCATTTCGATTTTAAATATAATTTAACATCCGTTACTTCATCAATAACTAGTAAAGCGGAAGTGCTTCCTAAAATTCAACTTCTTTTCGCGTTTTAAATTCATATTTTTTGGTTAACCTAAAGATATTGAGATGGGCTTATTACTGGGTTGTTGGGCCGTTATTTATCTATTAATGACGTAAAAATGACCACATCCCTGGTTTTGTCCTTCCCGTCAGAAATGGCACCTGGTATCATTTTAAGCAATCGCAAGCGCTTCGTAGCACGATATCCTAAGACAAATGTATTAAAATGTAATAAGCCTTTTGGAGTTATAATTATCAAGGTGCTGTTGTAGTCAAATGGAAAATTAAAAAAAAAAATGAAAAAATATCCAACAAGTTTGATCAACCCCGTTTTAGTAATGAGTTTGATCTGATGAGTTTTTAATAAACGACTGATTGGAGATTATTATCACCTTGTTGCATACTATACTTTTTCTACTACCATCAGTTTTTAAGTACATTTTTATTAGAAAACAGCTCGAAAACATTCACAGAGGGCCGTGTCACGTGATCGTCAGATTTGACAAGCATCAAAATACCTAGCAAAACGTGCGATTGTTCACAAAACCGTGACTAAATTACCGGAAATGTGGGTAATGCAGCTGTTGTCCTAAAGTAACACTTTCCTCACGTCCCATCTATGCATTTTAGAGTAGTAAGTGTAATGACTATAAATAAGCGCATTATGGCTGGCAGGTAGGAATGTACACAAAAAGTTTCTACCAATTTTAATCAACACATTACATTGTTAATTTCCTTATATTAACGAGGTGCGTCTCGAGGGCATAAAGTGAATAAAACATGTTTGCTGTGAAAGATACATTTTTTTAATGAAAGTGTTAACAAGGACATAGGCAATTTGGCGGAGAGTAACAAGCACTTTGCATTTGAGTGGTTTGGGGACAACACATCGCAGGTGGTAGACACACCATCGGGTAGGGGGCGGTGCAGTAGGCTGGTGGCGTATCCGGAGTTTCGACCGTAATTGATGGGGGACATGGTACTTGCGCTATAAGTGGCATACAGGGCGGACAAAAGTTGCTTTGTGCACCCCCATTTCCATTGCATTTTTGCCGATTCGACCCATTTGTTGGGGTGCAAGGAGGAATCCTGACGAAAGCCGGATAGCACTGATATTGGTTGCTTTCCGTCTTCTTGTCGGTGCAGTACGGTTTTCCTAAATGCTTCATGCCTGCGAAAGTTGAAGGACCGCAGGTTGGCTCAGGTTTGGTGAGACATTCAGGATTGCCATGACATTCCGATCGGGGGCAGTTGTCTTGTAGCCCTTAAAAATTGGTTAGTTTACAACTCAGGTAGAGGCCGTTTAATTTTTTTTATAGGTGGTCAATTAAGCAACAAGTTTTAATCCCCTGGTCAAAGTCAAATTTTAGGAAAACTTTTTTGCGTTGTTCAAGAAATACAGAAGTGGTTTTTAATTTTTTTACGAGTTTTCCATACTCTTAAAAATAAAGCGGATGTTCTGACGTCACAACAGACAGTAAAATTTTGTCATTATCGACCATTCCCATCAATCTCGCCCTAAAATTGAATTAACTAACGAAGAACAAAATTTTAGGGGCGGGCTTGGGGACATATTTTGTTGCAACCTCCTTATTTTTGGACTTCTATTAATCAAATTGTAGTCTACGAACTATTTTCAGGTGTAGTGTTACTTTAAAATTAAATTAAAATGTCCAGTTTATCCAGTTTTTATATTTTACCAATTGATAGTAGTTGATATTTTTTGTGGAATACTTATGTATCTTCAACACTGTCATGCAATTCTCAAATCTCTCAGTCTTTGACAAGTAAAACAATTTCAGAAGAATGAAAGTCACTGGGAAAATCATAAGCTAATCAAAATACAGAAAACCCTGTCATGGATGTTGATACGAAGATAAGACATCAAAAGAAGCATAGAACCAAGCTAAAAAGATTGCAACTTGATTGAGAAATACATATTCTGAATTTTTTTTAGTACCTAAACCTTCAATAATTCCTAACTTACTGACTCATTCGCTAACATATCAAAGCATACATTTAATAAGGTCGTATGGCAAGCAACTCGTAGGACTCTTCCATAAACCATTACATGAGGGTCGTTAACGGTGTTAACAAAAGGGCAATTGTCTATTTTATTAACTTGGTTCTCTGGTAAACCATTTGAGGATCATTTTAGTAGTCCAACAAACGAACCTAACCTAAATTTAGATGTCCAATGGTTCCTAAAAGTATATCTGCCTAGTTCGTTCATGTGGCCCCTTAAAACCCAAAAGTATATATTATTATGTTAATAAAAGAAATGCCCAACAACAATTAACCGCTTCGATCTGGTTTTTCAGTTTGTCTCAAGTTTACGTAAAAAGTAGATTTAAATAACTCGTTTAATATTGTGAATTCAGTGGAAAAGTCAAATAAAAGAAAAAGAAATTACACTGCTGTCATGTTAACAAGGAAATTAAAATGAAATTGCACAAATAACGAAAAACTTTATCACACACTTGATAAACCTTTAGTGGAATCAAAGGGAGGAACCAGAAATGATACGCTGTTGTCATATTTATCAGTTTTTGAGTTGCTATGTACTAATGTAAAGAGCAGTCGTTTGTGCCGAGGTGCTACCGTACTTTTTTCTTCCTCTACGTGCAAATCACTAGTAAGTTATAGTACGTATTATTGTATCTAGATGAACCAAAAAAAAATCAGTTTTACAAAATTACTTACCGTTGTGTTTTTCGCATTCACAACCGACGTGCAATACACTGGCCCTCAACTCTCTACTCTTCGACCTGGTGCATGTATTTCCATTCGTTGTCTGTATCTTGTAACATACCATCATTTGGGGAGGATTGCAAGGGACGCAGGGCTGCTCCTCGACGGCTGAATTGCAAACTGGCATACAGGGCGGGGGAAGGGGAGTACATATTGGTAAAAGCGGTGGAACACAAATAGGTTGAGGCGGTGGTGTGGTAACTGGTACTGATCCGTTCCGGACTTGGCAGGTTTCTTGAAAAATGAGGGTACATACAATTTTGTTGTTCCGTAATAACTGTCCGATAGAGGTCAAATGTTTATACTGCAATTAAATTCTGGGACCAGAAATGTACACCATACACCAAGGGCCTATGTGATGCACTTCGATACTATAATATAAGGTGGGTTTGGCTAATAAAAACTTGTCTGGAGCAAAGTAGGAGTAATTTTTTGGCAGTGAGCTTGGAGTTAATAGAAAGTAAACTGGACTTTCGGAGCAGAACCTCAAATATAAATGTCAAACAGCTGTTTTGGTTTTTTATTGTTTTTGTACTTCCGGAACAGAACTGGTTATTTTTATCATCAATTTTTATTAACCAACTACGAGGATAATAAAGAAATCAATGTAATTGAAAAAATTGAAAATTTTGGAGAAGTGTGTCCCTTTTTAATAATAAACCGTTTAAAAAACACGTATATGATTGATATATCTAAATATATATATATATATATATATATATATATATATATATATATATATATATATATATATATATATATATATATATATTTCAAACATCAATTGTCCTTGATGAGCTTCTTAAAAGTGTTTTATTCCTGTCCCAACAGAAATATTGAAAAAGTTCTCTATATTAATAAATCAATTTAATTTCTAAACAAAACCGCCCAACAAATATTTGTTGTTTGCTCATAAAATCCAGAATTAGGATGTAGAACCGAACGCAAACGAAGTCACTCTTTTTAAGTCAAAAAGCAATACCCGAACGAAGAGATTGTATACGGAGTGATTCAGAGTACACCGAGTGAACAAGCCGAACCTCTCTATAATAAAAGTTTATGAGTCTTTAGTGCGACTTGCACTTCGTATAGGAAAATTAAATTAACGAAAAGGCCAAAGGATTATAAAGTATAAACTAAAACAGCAGCACATTGAAAATAGGCGGATACAGGAATAAGAAAAAATAAAAAATAAAGAAAATAAAAGTGAGAATGGAGAGAACGTATAATTCGTTGAGGCGGGGCAATTCCTCAATTTCAGCTGAAAATTGTTTCTCTCTTTTGTGCCCAAGCAATTTACTGTTCACGTATTTTTAAGTTTCTCTTTGCAAAAAAAAAAATAAAATTATACCTAAAGCGCCTTTCTGCACTGTTTTTAAAATTCGGCTAACAATTTTAATATTGGCATTACAATTGCTTATTATAATAATTAACGTGGTTTTCTTCAGTCAAATATAATAACGAATACATTAAAATGTAATTGCAATTTGTTGTTTCTTATCGAAAACCACTCAAAATTGTGCAGTATGGGAGACTGTGTACGGTTGTAGAAAATTAGATTTGTATATTAATAATTCAGTAATTTGTATTTATTTATTTATTATTATTTTAGCTTGTAAAAACAAAATAGTTTTTTTTATTTGTGCTAACAATAATAAAGATTAATCTTTGTCTAAATTTAACCATATATTATATTATAAAAATTCAACCAATCAATACTGTTCGTAACGTTAATGTCAAATAAATTAGTTAGAATTTATTGTTATAATTTTAGTAGTATTATTAAAGCAACTAGTCAGAAATCTTAATTTTTATTTTAGGGCCTATAAAACAAAAATTTGGTTTCATATACCAAAAGAAAGCCCTGACAATTATACTGCACTATAGAGAAATATGAAACAATATTTATATAAAAAAACTTTTTTGGATGAGTCTCAGAAGGTTGACTATGACTGACAAGAAATATGTACAATGTAGAATATTAAGATTAGGATTTATTCACAATATTTAATTTAACCAGTGTAAAAAATACCAGGGTCACTTGAAAAGTTTCCGACCTAACAATGATACATTTTCTCTCTTTTTTTTTATTGCTTGTATACACATTTCTCAGCGATGCTTCAATTTTGCTAACCCGTCGAAATAGTACCTAGCGCAGAATAATTGTTCACGAAGGTAATTAATTGTCTGCTCATTGTCGCTTGGGGCTTGTGGCTAGATCTGGGGACTGAGCGAGATGGTCAAGAAGTTCAAACCGTAATTCATGCATGCAAATGTGACAAACACGTTCTTCGGATATTTTGCATAACCTCCGCTATTTCTCTCATTTTAATCCGACGGTCGTTTAACAGAATTTGATGAACTTCAATAATATTGTCAGTAGTTACAGTTTTTCGATGTCCCTAACGTTCATCATTTCCTAAGTCCTAAGCCACGTTTAAATTCAGCTGCCCAAAATTTGACTGTGGTAAATGACGGTGCAGAGTCCACATACAGAGAGTCCAACTCAACTTTAATTCGCGTAGACATATGGCCTTTCAAAAACAAATATTTTATAACAACTAAAAACCATGCGTCCAAAATGGTAAGTAACTATCAAGGGGTGCACAACTACGATCACTAACTTTTAGTAACTACTGCCGCCATCTTCATGGTGAGGTCGGTAATTATTCAAGTGACTGTCATATATGTGTTTGTGAAATAAAGATCAATACCCAGTCTACGCTTTGTTGATATTTTGATAAAAGTTCTTGAAGTATGTTAAAAGCAGGAATGAAATGAAAAGTTATGAGTCACACTGGCTCATTATTATTTTTTTTTTTTGCAAAAATAGTAAAAACAACCACAGATGTATTCAAAAATAATAATTCAGCAATAATTTTTTCAAATAAGTTCGACGAGCAAATGACATAATTCGATTAGAAATTATCAATTCGTAGGCATTCACCATATTGTCAATATCGGATTTGGATACGTCACTGTGAGAAAATGCTTGCAGAAATATTTATAAATTTTTCATTTATGGAAATTCAAATGCAAATAAAAAAGTTGAACTACAATATGGTGTGGCAAGGTAAATCGGTGCCTAAAAAACAACGTTACTTATTAGTACCTGGTGTACGTTTTGGTAGACAACAATCCCGAGACCGAGAGCGATCTGACTGAAGGCAGTAATCGGGAGATTGACCTCCAGCTGGACAACATGGAACGAAACATGGGCTGCAAATGGGCAAACAAGGTTTTGGTAAGGGATCATATATCTCGATAACTGGTCCTGTGTTTTTATTTACTGACGGTTGCTGGATACAAGTTTTGTAACATTTGTCATCGTCCAACTGATCGACCAGTTTCTTCAGCTCCCTAAGAAGATCCTGGCGTTTTTTGCTCTTTTCGGAACACACGAAGGCCATTGCCGATTTAGCACTCGAAATTTGGTAATAATATATATTGATTTACTTAAATTTCGCTTCTAACATCGATAACACCGCGAGAGTTCAACCGAAAATTTTGACTTTGACGTAGGTATTTGTTTCAATTGTCGTTAGATACTAAGTTACCGCGACGTATTCATAGTTAGATTTTTGTTATAATTCCGACTCGTAGATGCCGCTTATTAATTTCTTGTTGTGTTTAATGGTAATTTCAGCTATCCCAGATCAAGCCAACGCTAAAGCAACATCATTTCGCGATCTGATCCTCGCCAAAAGTAATCCACTGTTCACAGCTTCTATCAAAGTGTTGTACGCAATTCTTCGTTGTTGTGGAACATTTTTATGAACTGTCTCGGCCAATGCTTCTGCCATCCTCAACAGTTCGTAAAAATGTTCCGCAATTAAATCAACAACAAAGAATTGCGTACAACACTTTCATAGAAGCTGTGAACAGTGAATGTGGAACCGGAAAAACGTTCTTAATTTCATTACTTTTGGCGAGGACCAGATCGCGAAATGCAATGGAACAAGACTGGTCGTGAAAAAGGTGATGAATAACGTCATTGAGGCAACAATCATAAAAGGAAAATACAAAGGAGAGGATGTCTTGACCACGCAGATATCGATGATTCCAACGGATTTACCATTCGATTTTAATCGGTTACAAATTCCAGTACATCTGGCCTTTGGGATGACCATAAATAAATCGCAAGGACAATCGTTAGGAGTTCGCAGAATCAACTTGGAGTATCCCTCTTTCGCCCACGGACAATCATACGTCGCGTATGGAAATAAAACAAAAAATATAGTTTATGAGAAAGCTTTAAATTGATTAACAGACTGTATCATAACAGTGTGTGTCTGTCAATATCAAATTTATACCTTTAAATAGCCAGTATTTCAGGAAAATTCTGTGTTGTAAGTCAGCAACATGATGCGTCGGAAATAATAATTCAAAAAATGCTTTTTCGACTTCGAATTTTGGAAAAGTTTTGCCTTTTCTTGACGTTTCTTAGTGTTCAGCGATCAATTTTTCTAAAAGGTTGTGTTTATTAAAAGTTTAATATTCTAAACTTTATTCATAGGCGTCGCAGTTTTGAGAGCCATTAACTCAGCCATTTTAACTTTAAAATATACTCGATTAAAAAGATATTTCTCTGTATTTTACATCACACTTCTCATGGGTTCGTAACCAAAAGACTAAATGATATTATCCTGAAAACATTTAACATAAAACATATCATATACTCGTATATTCTGTTAAACGACCACGTTATAAGCAACAATTATTTTAAAATTGCTATAATTTGAGCTAAAAAGTTTAATTTTATCAAGATGGTCGGTCCCAATAAAATTAGCGGCTTCAAATTTTCGGCTTCGACGATATTTTCGTAACGGATCACGCAACAACCGAAATGCAAATTTTTGCGTTCAGGAACTTCTGACGACTTGGTAACTCGCATTAAAAATCAGTTCGTTATTTTCAACAGAAAAACGTTGCGCTATAGATAATTCTAAACTTGGGCGGTACCTTTACTAATACCTGGTCCCTTTGCGAAAAATTATTTTTAATATGCCCGATACTGCTTGCCTTGTGGGTAATATTCTTATGATCATAGTGAAGCAAATTCCAAGTTAATGCTAAACCAGAATTAATGTATATTGTAAATAGTAAACTGTAAATAACAAATAAATAAATAAAATTGTAATAAATAAATATAAAAAATATGAACATTAAACACAATAAGCTTGATGGACATGAACGAACTATAAATAATAAACAACAACAAAAACTAATTTGATAAACGATACTTTAGTCACGAGTTTTCGTTTTAGCACGATCTTAGCGAGTATTTATTATATGAGTGTCGGAAAAAGTTTATAAGAGTTTTGCATATTAACATTAATTTTTGCATTGTTTAACCTTAGTCATTATAAAACCAAGCATGATGTAGATGGGTTAAAATAAAATTAAAAGAATTGCTAGACAGTACTCCCTATTATCAACTACTTTCAATTACGCAGTAATCAGAGATGCACAAAATGTTGATGTTTGACAGTTCTGATGGTCACGTCATACGTCACTCGGTGAATGTGGAGGTGAATGTATTGGTGCCGCAAACATGTTCCAAAAAACTAATGGTCGCAAAGTGTGGTATACAACACGTTGATAAACTTCTTCAGATATTCGCTTCGCTTCTCTTCGCTTGGGCCAAAATAATATTTCGTGACTAAAAAGCTTTTAATTTAGATTGATAGATGGAAACTCGGCGAAGATCACCTTAACCGTAGCAAATTTTCAAATTTTTAACAAAATAATATTTGTGGTACATGATAAGATACATATCAAAAAGGAACACTCAATACTAACATAGGTAGAGAAGCATACACAATTACGTTACTAGAATTACACTTATAATTATAGATATTCAATAAAGAACGCTTAAGTCTTGTTGTACAGGAAGAAAATCCAATATCGCCATTCTTTTCACACACACGTATATTAATGCTTAAATAGTGATGTTGTGCTTACGAATATCCAACATACTGTTGTTAAGTATCGGAACTGCAGTTTTGGATGCAAGAGGGATACAGTATTAGTCTATCCAGAATATCTTGTAGATAAACGAAATACACGAATTTTTCACTCCTCGCAATTTACTTTTTGATTGCAAATCTAAGCATGATCTGTCCACAAAATCACAAAAGTCCGTGCGGTAACTTGTATAGATTCCGAAGATCTCTTCTGTATTGTAGTTCGGTTCAAAAACAAGAATTATTTTATTTTATTATTTTATAGATTTTATAGACCCCGTGATTAACTTTTTATCTAGCTGCACTAACAAGCGGGGTATAACTATGTTTTCAATCTTTTTCGATGAGCAATTCTTGAAACATGTACATAAAAAAATTAGGAAAAAGTAACAATTTATTAAGTTCTATTTCATAATAAAGTATCAGTCACTTGAAAAATCGTCACTATCGCTACTGGTCGTCACCTAGTTCAATGATCAACTCCGCCACTAATTCTCGTTACTCGTTTTCCACAGTTAGACCAGCTTTGTACTGATATTTTAGCCGAATTACGTTTATGGTATTATCACTAAACTTTAGTACAGAATAAATATCTGTTGTAATGGGTTTCGCCACGGTCCTGCGAAGATCTGCTGTTAAGGTACTGTAAAATACTTAATAAAACGTCAAAGTAATAATTGCACTATATTTTTGGTCGTATTATAATTGAATACTGAATATTCTCGTTATTGCTTTAGTTTCGGTTTCGCCAAAAATACTGTCGAACCTATCGGCGTGCCTAATTTTAGCTTTCCCAAAATGACCGTGTTGTCGCTTTGAGTGCGGCTTGGTCCAATTTCGGTTGGGGCGACGTGGTATGCATGCAATTTCCGGCAGTGGCGGCGTGCGTGCGTGTTTCCGGTGGGGCGTGCGGTGCCCACGCCTATTTTTCACTCCGTGGCGCCGCCTTTTTATTGTTTTTGAAGAAAGTCGGCGGGGCCCACGTCGCCGTTCACGAAAGGGTCAGTCACGTTACGGAATCTAAATTAGTTGCATGAGCTGCGGAATGTGACCGACCATAATCAACCATTTTTCACCAATAGGTATACCAAGCCGTTCTGCCAACGTCGTATCTGTCATGCCCCGTTATCGAATTCGAAATATCGAAAAAAAAAAAGAAATTAATTAATAGTTTGCTTAGACCAAAATTATTTTGAATTTAATGGTCAATTTTATTTTGCTAATGAAAGATTAATTATTGGAAACTCGCTTAGTCCGCTACTTGCAGAAATTTTCATGGACAATTTAGAAAGTATACATAAACATCCTCTGAGCAAAGGATTTCTCTGGTGGTATAGATGTGTAGATGATGTTTTTGCTTGTTTCACTGGAACGGAAAGACAACTATAGTCCTTTTTGAATCATATTAACTCCGTGCATAAGTGTATAAAAATTACCTTAGTGATGGAACTAAATAAACTTTCTGGACTTAACTATAACAAAATTAGAGAAAAAATGTTATTTTCCATTTACCATAGCCCCTTACACACGGATAGAGAAATTCATAATAACTGACACACAAAATGGCTGCCTTTTATTCTTTGATCCACGGACTACTTAATATATCACTTTCCACAGAAAATTTTGAAAAAGAATTAAATATTATAAAATAAATATCATTTAACAATGGATACGACATCTCTTGGATAGATAATATTGTAACTAAAAAACAGATTCAATTAACTCGGAACTCCATCTATCCCAAAATTATTAATAATATTATAATTAAATAGCGAACCGAAAATTTATGAAACAATAAAATATATAGAAAAATCTAGCAAGAATATTTCGAAACGTCTATCTAAGATTGTAAAATTTTCAAAAAAACAATAAAACTAAATCATGAAAAATTTAATTTCTTCAAACTTTACAATTTTTTTTTATAGTCTTTTGAATGTTTATAAACTTTTTCAGATTCTTATTATTAAAATATTCGTTTATTGTGTGAGGGAAAGTAATTTAAGTTTATAGAATATCCGTTCATGCTAAACGATATTGACGGCAGTTTCTCCGTTTACAGACAAACGTTATCGAGATACAAAAAAATAGTAAATCCGAAGGAGCGGCGCCATATTTACGACACAATCGCCATATTAGAACCTTTCCGGGAAACGTATACAGGCGATAATTATAGGAATTCATAGCCCCATTAAGTTATTGCGACAGAATGCATTTATTTTATAACCCACGCGCCTCCTCCTGGGAAGACTCATAATATAATTCCTTATTATAGGAATTTAGATGTTCCCAGTAGATATAGGTGCGTCATTGATACGTACGACATGCATTTCGATTTTACTTGCGTGTCCGTGATAAATATTATTGTACGTGGTGTTTCAATTTCATCAAACTGGGTTTAATGTCCTTGCTTTTAACCCAACCCCAAAATTTTGCAAAAAAAACACAAAATATGTATTATAATGAAGAAAATGAACTACATTATTATGAAATATAAAACAGTTAAGAAAAAGTATTCAGCGGTAATCAATAAGTATTTCAAGATTTTAGGAG